AACGAACGAACCAAGGGCAATCTCAGCCATTGCTTGCTAATGAGAAATTAAACATTCTAATTGTCCCAAAGGCAACTGGACTTTCTACTTCTTTTTTCCCTTGAAGACATTTTGCTTCTCATCCCAGAAGCTTCTTCAGTTCTGAGAAGGGAAACATCTCCAAGGAAAAAAAAAAAACCAGGAAGCCCAGCTGCCTTTTGACAAAGCACCTTTGGGGCAACCATGACCTGCGTTGACTGAAAATCTCCGTAGACATTAATTACTCTTTCTAATAGCACCCAATTTAATACTGTTCTTAATAGTAGAATATGAAGGCAACCCTAAGTAATTCATTTCTACATAATTGCCCAGTAAGATTCAGGAATTACTGGAGGACTGTAAAAGGGCACCTTGAATATTTTTTTTGGGGGGGGAAGGCGTTCAGGAAGACGTGTCCCTAAGCTGTTTCACTTTTTTTTCCCTATTTATAAACAACGAGTCACTGCCGATAATGACCTGTTTCGGTAGTTGCGCATGCAAAGAACAACCACCGGCAGCCACGTGAGCCTTAGCAACTCACCTGTGTGCCACTCCTCATGCCAGGAAAATTGCCCAAGGTAATTACAAAAGGCTCATCTGATTTGCATTGTACATCTCAAACTCTCCTCAGCTGCCCAGCCTTGCCAAGGGCATCGGCGGGGGAGAAGACGATCACCACAGAGTTGGGCAAGGTAGAAAGACACAAAGGATTTTTTTGGGGGGGGAAAGGATGGCGGGCATTGGCCCATTCCAGCAAGGAAGCTCACGGTGCTTATAGCCATGGGTGATGGCTACAGAAACCCGTTAAGATATCGAGGCATCCATCAATTGGCTCATGAAGCAGAAAGGTCATCGTTAGAACCAGTGGTGGGATTCAAATTTTTTTTACTCCCAGTTCTGTGGCACATGACTTGGTGGGCGTGGCTTGGTGGGTGTGGCAGGGGAAGGATACTGCAAAATCTCCATTCCCTCCCCACTCCTGGGAGAAGATTACTGCAAAATCCCGCTTCCCTCCCCACTAACCTGCTTTCCAGCTCCGTTCTCCTGTGCAAGGCAACCAAAGAAGACACAGCCCATCAGCTGGGACTTCAATGGGAGGGAGAGAAGAAATGGAGTTGGCAGGGAGGTGGGATTTGCCAGTTCTCCAAACTACTCAAAATTTCCACTACCGGTTCTTCAGAACCGGTCAGAACCGGTTGAATACCACCTCTGATTAGAACGGAAAGCTGAAATAGCTGAAGAAGCCTGTTCTGTAATTAGAGATGTATTCTAGGTAAGAACTATAATTCCACCAAGCCATATCATGTCTATCAGGAATGGTGCGGTGGCCTAGAAGTGGAACTCTCACCTCACAATCAGGAGGCTGTGGGTTCGATCCTAGCCAGAGGCAGATATTTCTCTCTCTGGGTACACTGAGAATATATCTGCTGGGGGGGGGAAAACTCCGCATTGGCAACAGGAAGAGCATCTGGCCATAAAAACACTCTGCTAGCTCCATTCAGTTGCCCAGACTCCACCCCACAAGGGATTATGGGGTTGTTACAAGATGATGATGATGATGATGATGATGATGATGTCATGTCTACGAAGTAACTAGGAAATGCTCTAATGTGGATAAAAGATTGACCTTCAATTTGAACCGTTTCTGACTTGCCAGCTCGGTCTCTTGATTATGTCTCCCACCAGCTTTGAGCATCAGGCCTGAATTATGGTGATCTCTACTCATTAGCAGAAGACACATCTAGATCAAAGCAGGATTCACGACGAGCCACAATGATATCCAAGTTAGCTCTGAGATGTAGGAGAGAAAGAACTGGGGGGAAAATATTACAAAATACAAAGACCTCCAAATGGATATAATGACCCTCTTGTGCGGGAACTGTTATTCTAATGGCTATTAGAATGAGAATGTCCACTATTACACAATCATCACTATGACAATAATGCACATTGTCTAATACATCTAATAAATAGTGCGACTTCGCTTGGCAATGAAACATCTGCAAGAAAAATAGCTCAGAGAGCACCAAGGACCCCATTAATAAATTTTATTGTACTCAGAGGTGGTATTCAGCCGGTTCTGACCAGTTCTGGAGAACCGGTAGTGGAAATTTTGAGTAGTTTGGAGAACTGGTAAATCCCACCTCTGACTGGCCCCGCCAACCCCATCTATTCTCTGCCTCTCATTGAGTCCCAGCTGATTGGCTGGGTCTTCCTTGGTTGCCCTGCACAGGAGAACGGAGCTGGAAAGCAGGTTAGTGAAGTGGGGAGGGAATAGGATTTTGCAGTAACCTTCCACCATGAGTGGGGAGGAAATGAAGACTTTACAGTAACCTTCTCCTGCCACAACCACCAAGCCACGCCCACAGAACCGGTAGTAAAATAAATTTGAATCCCACCACTGATTGAACTGTATTTCATTAATGTGGAAATAGCCATGGTAGCGCAGTGGTTAGAATGCAGTATTGCAAGCTAACCCTGCCAACTGCCAGGAGTTCGATCCTGACCGGTTCAAGGTTGACTCAGCTTTCCATCCTTCCGAGGTTGGTACAATAAGGACCCAGATTGTTGGGGGGGCAAGAGGCTGACTCTGAAAACTGCTTAGAGAGGGCTGTAAAAGCACCGCGAAGCGGTATCGAAACCTTAGTCATTGCTATTGCTCAGGCTTATGTCTTGATTATGCTAGAAATTCCCAATGTGGAATTCTTCACATCAGGTATAGGCAGAGGCAGTCACATCACTATCATCAACTCTTCCAAAGCATTTGTTCACGGTAACAGGTTAGTAAAAATAAATACATAAATTAAGTGCACTGAATGCAAACACTTAATGTGCAACATGTGAAGGTGATCTGAAGTTAATACCCAAGTTAGTTTCTGCGAGCTGAGACCAGTGCCAGCCTCGCCTAGCAAACAGGTTCATTTAGCAATCCCACGATGAACTCAGACACAACACTAATATCCTGATGCCAAGCACGAAACAGGAAGAAGAGTTCAGTTCCTTGATTGACATTTGGAATAATAGCGATAGGAGCAATTTGGCTCTGTGTAAAACTATCGCTGTCACAACCTCCATCCTAGACCTTCTCTGTGCTCATTATACCAGAACACAACAGAAGGATAAACAGAAGGATACTGGTAAATAAATAGCCTATGGATAGGTATCTTCTCAACTAATGGTTTGCCTCTGCTTGGAGTTAAGATAAGAGTCAAGGGAATTCAAGGGAGGTTGGACTTAGTCTGCTTGTGACTATGTAGAGATTCTAGGCTGAACCCTCTCTTGACTCTGCCCCCAGCTTCTGCCATTTTGTTTTCTCCCACACTGGCCTCTTGAATATGAATTTGACCCTTCAGTTCTGGTCTGTGAACCCTTCAGTGAAAAAAATCCACAACCTCTCCCTTAATGTTTGAGGAGAACCAGTCAAACAATTCAGAATGTCCACACAACTGTTGCTGGACAATATACAAAGCAGGTAGAAAGCCACTAGTGCGATTCATAGGACACATTTGAGTGTTGTTATGGATTGCTTTCCTCAGGCTGTGTTTGTGGGTTGATTTTTCTTTAGAATATCCCAACGGTTTGGAATAGATATTTTCCCCATTTTTATCATTGTGGTGAGTTTTTTTTTTTTTTAAAATGGCTTCTGCAGTGATGAAAGGAACGTGTGCTTCAGGTACGCAATAATTTAGAAAGAAGCATTTTGCCTTTAACATGTTCTAACAGTTGATTAACGTTTGTTATGGTTCTTAAGCTGATTGTTTTCTTGTGTGGTTACATTTGTTCAATTCGGATGGCCCTACGAATGGCTTAAATAAAATAATATAAATGCATCCAAGAATTTTTCATGCCAAAACCCTAAAGATTTGAGGTGCATATATAGGTATATATGCTTATCTTTTTCCATGGTTGAAGCAGCTGAATGTTGTGTAAGTGAACTGACTCCAGGGCTAATCATTTAAGGGTCCAGAAAGAGTAGGGTCTTGAATATTGAGATTGACTTGCAAACTGAGCTTTGAAAAGAGCTGGAAATATTTGTGTTTCTCCTCCCTCCCTCCCTCCCTCCCTCCGTTCTTTCTTTCTTTCTTTCTTTCTTTCTTTCTTTCTTTCTTTCTTTC